GGTCCATTTCCAAACACTGCTAAGGTAGGCATCCCTCAGGAAGGTTCAGGAAGACCTGGGGGATGGGTCTACACAGAGTCCCAGCGTGGGACATGAGCAAAGAAAACCCAGTCACTCACTGCAGTCCCCATAGAGCCATCCAGTGACAAATAAGGAGGCCAGGGAGATTCTGGTCCAGGATGGAGTGAGACAGGAGACATGACATGATGAGCTCCTGGGAGTGAGTCTGGACAGGAAGTAGCAGACAGATCAGGGAGGACAGCAGGACTACTGGCTGGCGGGCCACTGTGTCACAGAAAGGATACCAGGCCTGTATGTACCTTGTGTGAGCTCATTAGGTGACATCCCCAGGCCATGATGCAGGCAGAGACCTGGGTGTCATAACACCCCCACAACATGAAGGTCACTCGTAAGAGTACAGTATGTGTCCTGCCTGGTGGGGCCACCGTGTGCAAATGATGCTTCCTGTACATGAGGGATGTGGGATTCTGAGGTGGTTAAAGTGTCTGTCAGACTCTCACACTTGGGCTCAGGGCAAAATTTCTGGAAGCAGTGACTGCCCCTCCACCCACCTGGGGCCTGGCAGGTCTATCCAGCTGACAAGCAGCCCACATACCTACACTCCTCCAGGTGACACCTGCCCTCCTCCAACTCAGTATGGGGACTAAACACTCACCATCTACTATACCTTCCACAAGATCCTGCCAAAGGAAGGGTGCTGGAGCTTAGGCCCTGTGGAGAGATCTATCTGCTTGGGAGAAACAGGATTCTCCTCCCATCCAGTTCCCATTCCTGACCCCAAACTCCCTCAGACTCCTGTGCTGTAGATGTGGTGGCACTCAGGACACTCCCCCACCAGTCCCAAGTCTGCAAAGGGGTCCCAGCTCCATCATATCCCTGTGTGAAACAGGCCTGCTCACCCCTTCCACAATGACATACTGACACACACTGAGGAGACACACAGCTCCTCCCTAACGATGGACTTAGCTGGGAATTTCGATGACATACCCAGACATCCTCTGCAACCCCTCCCCAGGACTGAGGATGGATGGAATCTGAACCTTCCATGGAAATGAAATTCCTGGTCTCCAGGGGCAACCTCCTCACCACACACCCCCATCTGCCCAACCAGCACCCGTGACAAGGAGGCTGCCCTTTGGGCCTCCCGAGCAGCTGCAGGTGGGCCTGGGTCAGGGGTGGAGGGGCTGACAGAGGGTTTCTGTTCGGGGCTGTGTCACAGTGTGCTGTGTTCGGCGGAGGCACCCACCTGACCGTCCTCGGTGAGTCTACCCCTTTCTCGCCTCCTTGGCACCCACTCTACAATTTCAGGTGATGCTTCTCTCCTTTCCAACTTGATGAAGGCTGAGGCTAAAGGTCTGTGGGGTCTATGCCTTTCGTCCGCTTCGTCTGGCCCTCGTGCCTCCACTGCTCCCACCTTGTCAGATGTTGTACTGGAGCTGCAGGGGACCAGCCCCAAAATCCTTCCTGATGTACACTCAGGTCTCACTGTGTGTCCAGCCCTCTACCCACAGGACCTTCTTCTCTGGACTAGGGGGTGGTCGGTTCCCCAGTCAGGGTCTATTAGAATCATGAATGTGAGGGGAAATGAGGGGAGATGGATAAGGAAGAGGGATGCTCAGACTGCCAGCAGGGCTATAAGGTGATGGAAGGATTGTGGGGGCTGCTCAGGTGCTGGCCTCTGTCTCTGGCGGAGGGGGGTCCCGGGCAGAGGGCTGCATGGGCACAATGAGGAGAGCCTTGATATGGGGACTCGGAGACAAGGAGGGGGAAGCAGGACAAGGGGTAAAGGATAAAGCAAGGACTTGAGAGAATGGAGCCCAGGGTGATGGGACCATCCACCATGTAGGGATACTTAGACACCAAGAATAGGACCGGTCTAGGAAACTCTGGCAGCAGAGGTCCATCCCCGCAAAGCCCACTACATCTGGAGAGCCCCTGAGAAGATATTGGACCCGAGGTCCCTGATAGGGACAGGTGACGGAGATAGTACTGCTAGGTACCCGGGAATCCTAGGAGAGATAGACCCCAGGTTTTCACAGAAGAGGGAGACCCTCAGAACAGACACAGCCCCATCCTCAGAACTGGAAATTCACTTGACACGAAAAACTTCCCCTACTGGACTCCCTGCGTTCAAGAACCAGAGTTCACAGCCCATCCCATTCAGCAACCCTAGAAGGTGGGTATCTAGGGAGGTGGGCAAGGCTGCTGTGAAGGTATGAGGTGGCCTGGAGGCAGGAAACAGACTCTTCACATGGGTAACAGAGCCCTGCAACCCAGAGATGCCAGCTCTAGGAAATCCTGGGTAAGCGACCTGGGGGATGTCACCTGAGACCTGTGTCCAAGCACACACAGAGTGAGAAAGAAAGCAGGGTCTCGGGGTCATTGACATCTAGTCTTGGGGGTAGACTGAGTAGATTAGAAGGATATATGATGTGGAGAGACCCTGGGGCCATGCAGAGGCCCAGAAACTAGAGGATCTGTCACTCAGATTCTCTCCAGCAGAAGGTGGGTGAGCCCACCCATGGCTGACTTGACCTCTAGGAGCAAGGGCCGCCTGCGGCCCAAGACATGGACAGGACACAGCTGTAGCCCCACATCAGGACTCAGGTAGGTGCTGACACAACAAACATCTGCCTTGACCCGCTGGCCTTCCGTCCCCACAGGTCAGCCCAAGGCCTCCCCCTCGGTCACACTCTTCCCGCCCTCCTCTGAGGAGCTCGGCGCCAACAAGGCCACCCTGGTGTGCCTCATCAGCGACTTCTACCCCAGCGGCGTGACGGTGGCCTGGAAGGCAGACGGCAGCCCCGTCACCCAGGGCGTGGAGACCACCAAGCCCTCCAAGCAGAGCAACAACAAGTACGCGGCCAGCAGCTACCTGAGCCTGACGCCTGACAAGTGGAAATCCCACAGCAGCTTCAGCTGCCTGGTCACGCACGAGGGGAGCACCGTGGAGAAGAAGGTGGCCCCCGCAGAGTGCTCTTAGGTTCCCCATGCCCCCCGCCCACCTAAGGGGGCCCGGAGCCTCAGGACCTCCAGGAGGATCTTGCCTCCCATCTGGGTCATCCCAGCCTTTCCCCTTGAACCCAGGCAACACTCAATAAAGTGTTCTTTGTTCAATCAGAAATAATGCTCTCTTTTCTTTTGGTTTATCATTTTGTGTCCTCAACTCAACCATTTTTACGTCGAACCTCATTTCTAGACTTTAAGGGAAGGACTCTAGAGGAGGGTCTTCAGGTGTTGGTTGTTTCACTCTCACCAGATCTGGCAGACAATATTCAATAATAAGAATTATCATAAGGACAAGCTAGATAGAAAAGTCACCACCACAAGGCTCTATGTTTCCTTTAATGTGGACCACCTACCCTGCCAATCACAGCTACCCTCACTCACCTGGGGCCCCCACCGCTTCTGGAAATATTTCTGAGCTTCTCCCTGGACCTGAGCTTTCAACCACCAAAACCAGGCCCCCTCTAAAGATGCCCAGCCTCCTTTCCTTAAGTCACCCTCTCAGTGACATGTTTTCCCTGGGTTCCGACCCCTATCCCCTTCCTCATAATCACACAGTCAAGCATCCTCCCCCTTCCCTAGAGGACACCTTATCTTTGCTCCAGAAGGACACTGTGCCGCCTCCCACAGAATTTCCTTATCACATTCACTATAAACCTTTTGCATGGATGCTGTTCTCTACAATACCACTCTCTCTGATTTAACCTCATCCCAGGGTCTCTTTCTTCACACTAGTATTCATTTCTCTTGGAGACCAACACCATCGATGTGCCCTAGGATCCATCAAGGGCCAAGCATACCCCTTAGCCCACACCTGATGCTGGGGTGACATACCTGGGCACCTACATTATAAATCAAGGGTCTGTATCTGAGATGGAGCTGCTGACATGTCTCTCAACTGATTCATCAACCTAGGAGACTAGTCTGACACCTGAGCTATAACACCAACTCACACACACAGGTATATGCATACAAACAGACATGCATACACATGATGATCACAAAGGCACTGTTATATTTCCAAATACTGCCATGGTGGGGATCTCTCAGGAGTGAACATGAAGAGCTGCAGGATGGGTCTACACAGAATCCCAGGGTGGGACATGAACCCTGGGAGCCAGTGGTCAGCCAGTGACTAATAGGTGTAGGGAGATTCCGGTCCAGGATGAAGTAAGACAAGACACATGGCAAATTCCTGGGAGTGAGTCTGGACAGGAAGTAACAGGCAGATCAGAGAGCTCAGCAAAAGCTCTAACACAGAGTACCACTGTGTTACAGAAAGGAGGAGTCCAGGCCTGTGTGTCCCCTGTGTGAGCAAAGCAGGTGCCGACATCAGGCTTGGATGCAGGAGAAGCTCTGGGTGTCAGGAGCCTTCATATGGTGAAGGTCCAGTAGTAAAAATTAAGTGAAGATCCATTCCAGGGATACACTATGTGTCCTGCATGGTTGGGACACCCTGTGCTAGACATGATTCCAGTTTATGGGACCTGTGTGAACAGAGTCAGTCCAGTGGCCCTCAGACTCCCACACTTGACCTCCTGGCAAAAGAGCTAGAAGTGGTGACTGCCCCCTTGCTGCCAGGCTGCCAGGTCTATCAGGCTGATATTCAGCCCACACACCTACAGGGTGACACCTGCCCTCACACAGCTCAGAAAGGGGAGTCAACACTCACCATCCACTTTTCCTTCCAGAAGATCCATCCAAAGGCAGGGATTTGGGAGCTCAGGGCCTTCTGTAGGGATCTATCTTTTTGGGAGAAATGGGATTCCTCCTAGCCATGTTTCATTCCTGATCCTCAACCCTCAAAGCCTTCTTCTATGTTGAGGATGGGGTGACATCCAGGACACTCCCCACCAGTCCCAAGTCTACAAAGGGGTCCCAGTTCCAATAACTCTGGGTAAAACAGGTCTATTCACCCCTTTCACAAAGGCATCTCACCACACACTGAGGAGACACACAGCTCCTCCCTAACGATGGACTTAGTTGGGAATATCGATGCCATAGCAGTCATCATCTGCAACCCCTCCCCAGGACTGAGGATGGATGGAATCTGAACCTTCCGTGGAATTGAAATTCCTGGTCTCCAGAGGCTAACCCCTGACACATCACCCATCTGCCTGACCAGTACCCGTGACAAGGAGGCTGCCCTTTGGGCCTCCCGAGCAGCTGCAGGTGGGCCTGGGTCAGGGGTGGAGGGGCTGACAGAGGGTTTGTGCTCGAGGCTGTGTCACAGTGTGTTGTGTTCGGCGGAGGCACCCACCTGACCGTCCTTGGTGAGTCTCCCCCTTTCTCTCCTCTTTCGCCTCCACACTACAATTTCTGGCAATGTTTGTCTCCTTTCAATCCTGATGCGGGATGAGGCTGAAGGTCTCTGGGTCTGTGCGTTTGGTCCCCTTTGTCTGCTTCTCATGCTTCCACTGGTTCCACCTTTCAGATATCTCTTTGGACCTTTAGGGGACCAAACCCAGAACCCATCCTGATCTACACTCAGGCCTCCCTGAGTGTCGAGCTCTCTCTCCACTAGGAAAACTTCTCCTCTGGAGTTGGGGATGGTCCTCTCCACACTCAGGGTGTCTGGGCCCCAAAAGTTGAAGAGAATGAGGAACAAAGGATGAGAGAGAGTGAGGCCCGGGCTACCTACAGGGCTATAGGATGAGGGAAGGATTGTGGGGGCTTCTCAGGCTCTGGTCTCTATCTCTGATGAAGCTCCCAGGCAGAAGGCTGTGTGAAGCCCAGGGAGGAGAGCCTTGGCATGGGGACTTGGAGACAAGGAGGGGGAAGAAGGACAAGGGGTCAAAGATGATGTGAGGACTTCAGAGGAGAAGGGAGCCGAGGGTGCTGGGGCCATCCACCTCCACAAGACACTAGAAACCTAGATAGATGCTCACCCTCCCGAGTGGGCCTCAGGGCACTCAGGCAGCAGAGATCCATCCTTTCACAGCCCACCTCAGCTGGAAAGCCCCTTGAGCAGATATTTAGCTCCTGGATCCGTGGTAGTGTCAGGTTGCCGGGATAGTGCTTGCCAGACACTCAGAAATTATAGCACAGACGGACTTCCCTGTAGAACTGCACGGAACAGCAAGACCACTCAGATCAGATGCAGAGCCAGGCACAGATTGAAAATTCATCCATCACAAAGCCCCTCCATCTGCTGGACTCCATGATACCCAGGAAGAGGAACTCACAGCCCCTATCCCTTGAGCATCCCTAGAGGGTTATCTATAGGTTGGAGGGAGAGCCGCTGTGAAGGTGTGGGGTGGCCTAGGGGCATAAATCTACTTCTCACATGGGTAACAGAGCCTTGTAGCCAGGTTTGACCAGCTCAAGAATATCCCAAGTAAGTGGCATGTCACATTGAGGCCATGCCCAGGTTCTCGGGGCCATGGACTGCAGGTCTCAGAGGAAGACTGGGAGAGTTAGAAGGATATGTGACCTGGAGAGCCTCAGGCCATGGAGAGGCCCAGAAACTAGAGGATCTGTCACTCAGATTCTCTCCAGCAGAAGGTGGGTGAGCCTACCCATGGCTGACTTGACCTCTAGGAGCAAGGGCCGCCTGAGGCCCAAGACATGGACAGGACACAGCTGTAGCCCCACATCAGGACTCAGGTAGGTGCTGACACAACAAACATCTGCCTTGACCCGCTGGCCTTCCGTCCCCACAGGTCAGCCCAAGGCCTCCCCCTCGGTCACACTCTTCCCGCCCTCCTCTGAGGAGCTCGGCGCCAACAAGGCCACCCTGGTGTGCCTCATCAGCGACTTCTACCCCAGCGGCGTGACGGTGGCCTGGAAGGCAGACGGCAGCCCCGTCACCCAGGGCGTGGAGACCACCAAGCCCTCCAAGCAGAGCAACAACAAGTACGCGGCCAGCAGCTACCTGAGCCTGACGCCTGACAAGTGGAAATCCCACAGCAGCTTCAGCTGCCTGGTCACGCACGAGGGGAGCACCGTGGAGAAGAAGGTGGCCCCCGCAGAGTGCTCTTAGGTTCCCCATGCCCCCCGCCCACCTAAGGGGGCCCGGAGCCTCAGGACCTCCAGGAGGATCTTGCCTCCCATCTGGGTCATCCCGCCCTTCTCCCCGCACCCAGGCAGCACTCAATAAAGTGTCCTTCCTTCAATCAGAAATCACGGTCTCTGCTCATTTGGATTTTACACTTTGTGTCTGATCTCAACTATCTTTAAGGGTGAACATCATTCCTTTGACTGTGTACAAAGGCGCCAGCAGAAGGCATTCTCATGTTTTTGTGGGGGATTAATTGGCCAAGAATTGCAGGAGAATTTTCCCGAACAGTATATGCCAGTAGCAAAACAAGATTAAAGACTCTCCTCCACAATAGGTCGCTGCATTCTTTTCTTTGTGTGGACCATGTGCCCGGCCAGTCATAGCTGCCTTCATTGACCTTAGGTCCCCATAGCTTCTGGAATATGTGCTGATCTCCTCCCTGGACCTGGGCTTTCGACAGCTGGAAGTAGCCCTCCTCTTAAGATGCCTATTAAGGTCCCCTCTCCCTCTCAGTAACATTTTTCCCTGGATTCCTACTCCGTGTGGACCTTCCCCATCTTCACAGCCTAGAACATCCTCCTTTCCTTAGGGGACCCTCCTTGCCAGGTTCCCTAGGGACGCTGTTTGTGCCCCCTCCCACAGACTGTCCCTGTCACACTCACTAAAAGGCCCTCTGCCTGGACCCTCGTAACTCACACTCACATTCCCACTGGTGGCACCTCCTCCCAGTGTCTCTTGCTTCCCACTAGTATTGATGTTCCCTGGGAGATAGATGCCACCTATGTTTTCTAGGACCCCTCAGATTAGGCCAACCCACGATCCACCCCTTGTGCTGGCTTGACCTGCCTGGGCCTCTGTGTTAGAAATCCAGGATCAGATTCAGGGAATGAGCTGCTGACAAGTCTCTCAACTGACTCATCTGCCTAGGAACCTAGTGTGAGATCTGAGCTGTAAGACACATACATACACACACAGGTACAAATGAATACAAACAATATGCACACACATGATGATCACAAACACACTGGTCCATTTCCAAACACTGCTAAGGTAGGCATCCCTCAGGAAGGTTCAGGAAGACCTGGGGGATGGGTCTACACAGAGTCCCAGCGTGGGACATGAGCAAAGAAAACCCAGTCACTCACTGCAGTCCCCATAGAGCCATCCAGTGACAAATAAGGAGGCCAGGGAGATTCTGGTCCAGGATGGAGTGAGACAGGAGACATGACATGATGAGCTCCTGGGAGTGAGTCTGGACAGGAAGTAGCAGACAGATCAGGGAGGACAGCAGGACTACTGGCTGGCGGGCCACTGTGTCACAGAAAGGATACCAGGCCTGTATGTACCTTGTGTGAGCTCATTAGGTGACATCCCCAGGCCATGATGCAGGCAGAGACCTGGGTGTCATAACACCCCCACAACATGAAGGTCACTCGTAAGAGTACAGTATGTGTCCTGCCTGGTGGGGCCACCGTGTGCAAATGATGCTTCCTGTACATGAGGGATGTGGGATTCTGAGGTGGTTAAAGTGTCTGTCAGACTCTCACACTTGGGCTCAGGGCAAAATTTCTGGAAGCAGTGACTGCCCCTCCACCCACCTGGGGCCTGGCAGGTCTATCCAGCTGACAAGCAGCCCACATACCTACACTCCTCCAGGTGACACCTGCCCTCCTCCAACTCAGTATGGGGACTAAACACTCACCATCTACTATACCTTCCACAAGATCCTGCCAAAGGAAGGGTGCTGGAGCTTAGGCCCTGTGGAGAGATCTATCTGCTTGGGAGAAACAGGATTCTCCTCCCATCCAGTTCCCATTCCTGACCCCAAACTCCCTCAGACTCCTGTGCTGTAGATGTGGTGGCACTCAGGACACTCCCCCACCAGTCCCAAGTCTGCAAAGGGGTCCCAGCTCCATCATATCCCTGTGTGAAACAGGCCTGCTCACCCCTTCCACAATGACATACTGACACACACTGAGGAGACACACAGCTCCTCCCTAACGATGGACTTAGCTGGGAATTTCGATGACATACCCAGACATCCTCTGCAACCCCTCCCCAGGACTGAGGATGGATGGAATCTGAACCTTCCATGGAAATGAAATTCCTGGTCTCCAGGGACAACCTCCTCACCACACACCCCCATCTGCCCAACCAGCACCCGTGACAAGGAGGCTGCCCTTTGGGCCTCCCGAGCAGCTGCAGGTGGGCCTGGGTCAGGGGTGGAGGGGCTGACAGAGGGTTTCTGTTCGGGGCTGTGTCACAGTGTGCTGTGTTCGGCGGAGGCACCCACCTGACCGTCCTCGGTGAGTCTACCCCTTTCTCGCCTCCTTGGCACCCACTCTACAATTTCAGGTGATGCTTCTCTCCTTTCCAACTTGATGAAGGCTGAGGCTAAAGGTCTGTGGGGTCTATGCCTTTCGTCCGCTTCGTCTGGCCCTCGTGCCTCCACTGCTCCCACCTTGTCAGATGTTGTACTGGAGCTGCAGGGGACCAGCCCCAAAATCCTTCCTGATGTACACTCAGGTCTCACTGTGTGTCCAGCCCTCTACCCACAGGACCTTCTTCTCTGGACTAGGGGGTGGTCGGTTCCCCAGTCAGGGTCTATTAGAATCATGAATGTGAGGGGAAATGAGGGGAGATGGATAAGGAAGAGGGATGCTCAGACTGCCAGCAGGGCTATAAGGTGATGGAAGGATTGTGGGGGCTGCTCAGGTGCTGGCCTCTGTCTCTGGCGGAGGGGGGTCCCGGGCAGAGGGCTGCATGGGCACAATGAGGAGAGCCTTGATATGGGGACTCGGAGACAAGGAGGGGGAAGCAGGACAAGGGGTAAAGGATAAAGCAAGGACTTGAGAGAATGGAGCCCAGGGTGATGGGACCATCCACCATGTAGGGATACTTAGACACCAAGAATAGGACCGGTCTAGGAAACTCTGGCAGCAGAGGTCCATCCCCGCAAAGCCCACTACATCTGGAGAGCCCCTGAGAAGATATTGGACCCGAGGTCCCTGATAGGGACAGGTGACGGAGATAGTACTGCTAGGTACCCGGGAATCCTAGGAGAGATAGACCCCCAGGTTTTCACAGAAGAGGGAGACCCTCAGAACAGACACAGCCCCATCCTCAGAACTGGAAATTCACTTGACACGAAAAACTTCCCCTACTGGACTCCCTGCGTTAAAGAACCAGAGTTCACAGCCCGTCCCATTCAGCAACCCTAGAAGGTGGGTATCTAGGGAGGTGGGCAAGGCTGCTGTGAAGGTATGAGGTGGCCTGGAGGCAGGAAACAGACTCTTCACATGGGTAACAGAGCCCTGCAACCCAGAGATGCCAGCTCTAGGAAATCCTGGGTAAGCGACCTGGGGGATGTCACCTGAGACCTGTGTCCAAGCACACACAGAGTGAGAAAGAAAGCAGGGTCTCGGGGTCATTGACATCTAGTCTTGGGGGTAGACTGAGTAGATTAGAAGGATATATGATGTGGAGAGACCCTGGGGCCATGCAGAGGCCCAGAAACTAGAGGATCTGTCACTCAGATTCTCTCCAGCAGAAGGTGGGTGAGCCCACCCATGGCTGACTTGACCTCTAGGAGCAAGGGCCGCCTGCGGCCCAAGACATGGACAGGACACAGCTGTAGCCCCACATCAGGACTCAGGTAGGTGCTGACACAACAAACATCTGCCTTGACCCGCTGGCCTTCCGTCCCCACAGGTCAGCCCAAGGCCTCCCCCTCGGTCACACTCTTCCCGCCCTCCTCTGAGGAGCTCGGCGCCAACAAGGCCACCCTGGTGTGCCTCATCAGCGACTTCTACCCCAGCGGCGTGACGGTGGCCTGGAAGGCAGACGGCAGCCCCGTCACCCAGGGCGTGGAGACCACCAAGCCCTCCAAGCAGAGCAACAACAAGTACGCGGCCAGCAGCTACCTGAGCCTGACGCCTGACAAGTGGAAATCCCACAGCAGCTTCAGCTGCCTGGTCACGCACGAGGGGAGCACCGTGGAGAAGAAGGTGGCCCCCGCAGAGTGCTCTTAGGTTCCCCATGCCCCCCGCCCACCTAAGGGGGCCCGGAGCCTCAGGACCTCCAGGAGGATCTTGCCTCCCATCTGGGTCATCCCGCCCTCTCCCCGCACCCAGGCAACACTCAATAAAGTGTCCTTCCTTCAATCAGAAATCGTGCTCTCTGCTCATTTGGATTTTACACTTTGTGTCCTGAACTCAACCATCCTCAGGGTGAACAGTGTTGCTGGTCCAATGGGGAGGCGACCACCCTTCCCAACAGGTCTTTTTGGGGAAGATCCCTTTGGTCCATTTTTGCAGAGCAAGATCCCATACCGGGAAGAGGGAAACAGCCTGATCCAGGTTCCAAACGTCCACACCTTACGTTCCCTATACTTGTAGGTCTCCTGTAGGCCATATCCCCTCCTAGCCCTATCTGAATTCAGTGCCCTTGAGGTCTCTGGCTTCTTGGTGAGTGTCAAATCCCTCCAGACCTGGTACCTCTCCAATAAAGACTAGCCCACCTCCAGTGATGTGCCATTCTCCCTTCCCTGAAGGCCCTTACCCATGGCCAGGCCTTCTCTGGGTTCCTATCCCATCTGGAAATTCCCACCAGCCCATCTTAGAGAATCATCACTCTATCAGGGCCCCCAAACCCCTGTCTCCCTAAGAACCTTGCCCTGTTCCCCTTCTCCTGCCACACTCACTACAAGACACTCAGTCCCTGGAAGCTGGTCTCCAGCTTCCGCCTGGGGGCTTCTGGGGGCCCCTCTTTCCACATGTGTCATGGAGGATCCAGTTGCGCTCATCCCCCTGGATGACAGAGACCCCTCAGAATCAAGCACACAACTGACTCCATCAATAGCACTAAAGCTAAAATGCTCATGTGTTTTCTGTGCGCCCACGAATCCAAGTAAAGACCCATTCTGATTCATACCATGGACCTATGTGTGAACTCACTCATTTCCTGGAAAGCTGAGAATGGACTCTGAGAGACAGGAAGACTGCACTGCTAGGAGCCAGCTCAGAATGTTGAGTCCTGGTGCTGTGTCCCATAGACAGACTGGACACACACAACCATGATAAACTCATGTGCGCACACTAGTACACACTCATGCCTGTTCT